TTCGATGGTGACTTCGTAATGACAATCGGAACGATCAAGTTGCCCGTATTCGTCGGAGGAACGATCTCGTGGGTCAAGTTAGGCGTAGTTGACAAGCCCGCAGTTTACAACGTTATTTTGGGGACACCCTGGATGCATCAAATGCAGGCGATCCCGTCCACATACCACCAGTGCATCAAGTTCCCAACGCACAACGGAGTGTTCACCTTGAGAGGGAATCAACAGATCGCAAGAACATGTTTTCTCATCGAACACAAGAACCGCGTCGCTAAGAAGTTATAGCAATTAACGATGCCAGCATCGTCGACCGTTCCGACCCTAAAAAAGTCCCTTGAAGAGCCTCAACTGAGCAGGACAGAACAAGTGAATATTGACGAGACGGATAAGACAAGATGCGTCGCAATCGGGGCCGAGATAGTACCATCGGTTAAAGAACCACTCATCGCATTTCTAAAAAAGAATTCTAAAACGTTCGCCTGGAGCGTAGACGACATGATAGGCATCGACCCTATGATCGTTACGCACGAGCTTAACGTCGACTCAACCTATAAACCGGTAAAGCAGAAAAGGCGAAAATTGGGACCGGAGCGAGCCAAGGCCGTAAATGACGAAGTCGACAAGCTGTTGAAGGCTGGCTCGATAACTGAGGTAAAATATCCGGAATGGCTAGCGAACCCGGTCGTTGTAAAGAAGAAGAACGGCAAATGGCGTGTTTGCGTAGACTTTACCGACCTCAATAAAGCGTGCCCAAAAGATAGCTACCCGCTCCCTCACATCGACAGGATAGTCGAAGCGACCGCTGGGAACGAACTCCTGTCCTTCATGGATGCATTCTCAGGATACAATCAAATCCTCATGCACAGATATGACAGGGAAAAGACCTCGTTCATCACAGACCGAGGAACCTATTGCTACAAGGTGATGCCATTCGGCCTCAAAAACGCTGGTGCGACGTACCAACGTTTGGTAAATAAGATGTTCGCTGATCATCTCGGACGAACCATCGAAGTTTACATAGACGACATGCTGGTAAAATCTCTAGTAGCAGCCGACCATGTCCGACACCTAAGCCAATGCTTCGACGTGCTGAACGAATACAACATGAAATTAAACCCCGCGAAATGCACGTTCGGCGTAACATCCGGCGAGTTCCTAGGGTACATGGTCACGCAAAGGGGGATCGAGGCTAACCCAAAGCAAATTCGTGCAATCCTCGATCTGCCTTCTCCAAAGAACGCACACGAGGTGCAGCAACTAACAGGACGGATCGCCGCTCTCAACCGCTTCATCGCCAGATCGACGGACAAATGCTTACCCTTCTATAACCTCTTAAAAAGGAAGGACAAGTTCGCATGGGATGAGGCGAGCGAAAATGCTTTTAACGAACTCAAACAATACCTCACGACGCCCCCGGTTCTCGCTAAGCCAGAAAACGGTGAAACGCTATTTCTATACATCGCGGTATCAAGCTCGGCCGTGAGCGGTGTGCTCGTTAAGAACGACCGAGGTGACCAGAAGCCGATCTTTTACGTCAGCAAGTCCCTCATCGAAGCCGAGACACGCTATCCCACAATGGAAAAAGCTGCGCTAGCGGTCGTAACATCGGCCAGGAAATTACGTCCCTACTTTCAATCCCACACAATCGCCGTTCTCACAGACCAACCACTACGAACCGCCCTACACAGTCCGAGCCAGTCCAGGAGGATATCGCAGAAATAATGAAGGAAACACACATGGGGGCCGGCGGCAACCACTCCGGCGGACGAGCTCTCGCATTACAAATAAAAAAACTAGGTTTCTATTGGCCGACCATGATATCGGACTGTAAGGACTTCGCGGCTAAGTGCGACCAATGTCAAAGACACGCACCCTCGATTCATCGACCAACCGAACTACTCAAGGTCGGTGCGGCACCATATCCGTTCATGAGGTGGGCCATGGATATCGTCGGCCCGCTACCGGCCTCCAGACAAAAACGGTTCATTCTAGTCATGACGGATTACTTTACTAAATGGGTGGAAGCCGAATCGTACGCGGCAATACGAGCCAAGGACGTCCAGAACTTTGTTTGGAAATATATAATATGCCGACACGGCCTTCCATACGAGATCATCACCGATAATGGCAATTTATCTCGCTGACATTCGAGAATTTTCTGTGCGAGCTGGAAAATTCGTCTAAACAAGTCCACACCGAGATACCCGCAAGGCAACGGACAAGCCGAAGCGACCAACAAAACTATTCTCACCGGCCTCAAAAAACGCCTCGACGACAAAAAGGGAGCATGGGCAGACGAACTAGACGGAGTACTTTGGGCGTACCGAACTACACCCCGCAGCGCCACCACGCAAACACCATTCGCGCTAGCTTACGGCATGGAAGCAATGGCTCCAGCCGAGGTCGGATACTCAAGTCTTCGGCGTTCTATGATGGTAGTCCATCCCGACCTCAACGACCAGATGATGCTTGACAGGCTCGACGAACTTGAGGAAATGCGCAACACCGCACTATGCCGAGTTCAAAACTACCAGCTTGCTGCCGCCCGATACTACAACAAGAAAGTACACAACCGCCACTTCGACGTCGGCGACCTTGTACTCAGGAAAGTCTTCGAAAATACAGCTGAACTCAACGCCGGCAAACTAGGAGCAAACTGGGAAGGGCCGTACCAAGTCTCGAAGATAGTTCGCCCCGGCGACTACGAACTCCTCACCATGAGCGGCACCGAAGTCCCACGAACTTGGAACTCCATGCACCTCAAGCGATACTACTACTGACGACCTCGCTCTCCTTATATATATATAAAAAAAAAAAAAAAAAAAAAACTGGGTAACATAAGCCGGGGACGAACCCACATTCCCAAAGATTTGTCAGGCCAATACAGGGTAAGCCGATCACCGCGCGTCGCACCTCACGATGTCTCGAGCCCGTCTCGAACACTCCGAGCAAACTCGGAAAAGCCGAAGTAGGTAAAACTTCGCACAAGCCAAGTTCAGCACTTGCATCATTTCGACAGAATAAACAGATAAGCCGAGGACGGACTCACAAGTTCCCAACCGGTCAAGCCTACCAACAACCGAAGTAATCTAGGCCTCGCATCAGCTTGGTGAACTCGCACCAAGCCGATCACGACCAGGTTTACACAGAAACCGGCCGCGTCCCGTCCTACACAGGAGCCGACCCCTGAAGAACAGGCTAAAAT